ATTGTAGGGTTTCAGCGGGGAAAAAAGGTATTTTTCGAAATGCTTGTTTGAGTGGGACTTCAAGCTGAGGCATTGTATAGTTTTAGAGGGAGTTAGGTGTGGGAACTTTTTACTGGTATAAGCAGCTGGGTATAGTGACTGTGCGTTGTTTTGTAGAGACCCTAAAATTTGGTTTTGTAAATATCAGATCACTTTTTACCCAAGCCTGACCAATAAATTATTAGATACTTCAGCATGGCCTAGATATGGTTGGTTTATGTGAAACATGGCAAGCCACTCATTGGAAGGAGGAAATCAGCTCATCAGTCTGTAAACTCTCCTCTCCTGCAACTCTATTAGTTGGTCAGGTAGAGGTTCTCAAATGTAAACATCAGTAAACATCGAGGAAAAGATGGAGAAGATGGACACGGATGAACTTGCATCCTGCTAGCTATTGTACATATGATGTACATTGTACATGATAATAAACTGGATGACCTCCATGCCACATCAGTTTTCAACAGGATATCAGGAACTGTAATATCCTTTGATTCACCAAAACTTGGCTAAATCCTGGACAGTGCCATTCAGCCAGGAGGCTCTGTTTCTATACAGCGATCTGTCAGAGCAGAGGATTCTGGGAGAGAAGGAGAGGAGGTATGTGCTTTATGTTGAATAAGTACTAGTATGATGGCGGGAATGTGAGGTGCTGTTCTGTTCCTGCTATGGACCACTGCTCTACGCTGTTCAGAGGTGGCTGCGAAGCAGAGTCACTGCCTGTGTTTTTGGGAGGGGCGACCATGCAGCGGTCTTGTTGAGGTCAAGATATGTGTTTTTAAAGAAAGAAAAAAAAAAAAGAATATGCATGCCCCAAGTGATTCAAGAGATGTAGCCTATCAGAGTCTGGATCACCTTCCTTGACAGCACCGTTGACATCAATGAACCCACTCACTCTGGTGGATTTAATTAGTTAAACAACACAAGCAACTGTACCCAAAACTACAATTAAATAATTGCACAACCAGAAACCATAGATCACCAAAACTATCTGGAAACAAAGACAATTATAAGGCAACAACCAACAATGTAAAAACTGGAGTTTAGGGGTAGGAATCGCCAGAGGACCCACAATATGATAATATTGCGATATGAAATGTATTGTGATATGCTGAGTATTGTGATAAAATGTATTCCAATATATTGCAATTTATCACCTTTTTCCAACTGCCAATTAGCAGACAGACATACCAACACCGATTTAACGCCCTCTAGTTTAGAGAATGTGAGACAGCAGTCGCCAGTTCTCTGTCACATAATGTGCCATTACAGTGACAGATGAGTCCACTGACCTTAAAGTTTTGGCAACACAAGTCAATGCCAACTTTCGTGCTGCACTCAAAGATTCCTAAACTTTATGCTTCACTTCTCTGTAGAGCCTGGATACGGCTGTGTCGGTGAAAAAAAAAGTGGGGACGTAATCATATACCTGGGTTATAGTGTTTTGTTTGCAATGACGCCAGGGTATGAAATTAACAAAATATTTTGGGGGCAATTTTGGCCCCCACGGTCTAAAAAATGGGGGCATTTTCAAAATGTTTGGGGGCCATCAAAAAATTGTAATTATGTTCTAACAATAAGCACATGAAAAGCAAAACCAACTAAGATAGTGTCTTCACTCTTCAGTAGAAACCACTATAAATGAAATAAATAATGGGTTACATAAAGTTATGGTTGCAAAATATCACTCAGATTTCCTATAATTCAACCAGTTTAAATGTGATGATTTAACCATTAATCTACTGATAGCTGTACTAATGTTTCACCACATTACAGTTACTTTTACTGTTAAAAAGGCCAAATTACTATAAATTCCTTAGATGCAATTCTGGAAGTAAGTTAATTTAAAATTTAACATTCATTCTACCTTAAATTTTCATTAATTTGTCATTGTGTAGACACAGATCACCCAAGAAATGGTTAATTTATACTTATGGTACAGCAAAGCCCCCTCCCCTTCTCTGTCAGATTACTCTCACGTAATCAGTGCAGTCTCGTTGATTATGTCTGGAAAATGAGTTGTAGACGTGACGGTAAATTAATTTAATGAAAATAAAATTATACTTTAATGTCAATCAATCAATCAATTCAATCAATTTTATTTATAAAGCCCAATATCACAAATCACAATTTGCCTCACAGGGCTTTACAGCATACGACATCCCTCTGTCCTTATGACCCTCGCAGCGGATAAGAAAAAACTCCCCAAAAAAACCCCTTTACGGGGAAAAAAAATGGTAGAAACCTCAGGAAGAGCAACTGAGGAGGGATCCCTCTTCCAGGACAGACAGACGTGCAATAGATGTCGTACAGAACAGATCAGCATAATAAATTAACAGTAATCCGCATGACACAATGAGACAGAGAGAGAGAGAGAGAGAGAGAGAGAGAGAGAGAGAGAGAGAGAGAGAGAGATGCAGGTAATGACAGTAGCTTACAACAACATTATTGAAAGTAATAATATTATAGTTATAGTTCTGGCTACTGTGGTACAATATGTTGAAAGTATGTATTAATATCTGGCAGTATACATGTGTGACAATAGTCATATGTGTATAATAACAGTAGAAGTATGACTAATGACTAATGATGGCAGCAGCAGCAGCAGGAGGCATCTGGCAGGACCACGGCAGCAGCACAACCACACACGTCACGCTGTCCAGGCACCGCTGCGATATGAGTTAATCTGAGAGACAGTGGAGCACAAAGGCTCCGGAGAAGAAGCCGAGTTAGTGACATCCAGAATGGCCGAGTTAGCAAGATGCAGTAATAGAATACGAGAGAGAGAGAGAGAGAGAAGGAGAGAAGGTGCCCGGTGTATTATAGGGGGGTCCTCCGGCAGACTAGGCCTAAGTCAGCCTAACTAGGGGCTGGTACAGGGCAAGCCTGAGCCAGCCCTAACTATAAGCTTTATCAAAGAGGAAAGTCTTAAGTCTAGTCTTAAATGTGGAGACGGTGTCCGCCTCCTGGACCGTAACAGGAAGATGATTCCACAGGAGAGGAGCCTGATGGCTGAAGGCTCTAGCTCCTGATCTACTTTTGGAGACTTTAGGGACCACGAGTAACCCTGCGTTCTCAGAGCGCAGTGTTCTGGTGGGATAATATGGCACTATGAGCTCACTAAGATAGGATGGAGCTTGACCATTTAGAGCTTTATAAGTTAACAGTAGGATTTTAAATTCAATTCTGGATTTTACAGGGAGCCAGTGCAGAGAAGCTAAAACAGGAGAAATATGATCTCGTTTCTTAGTTCCTGTTAGTACACGTGCTGCTGCATTCTGAATTAGCTGGAGAGTTTTTAAGGACTTACTAGAGCTACCTGATAATAGAGAGTTACAGTAATCCAGCCTAGAGGTAACAAAAGCGTGGACCAATTTTTCTGCATCTTTTCGGGTCAGGATAGGCCTAATTTTCGCAATATTACGCAGATGAAAAAATGCAGTCCGTGAGGTTTGATTTAAATGAGAATTAAAAGACAAATCTTGATCAAATATTACTCCGAGGTTTCTTACGGTAGTGCTAGAGGCCAGAGCAATGCCATCTAGAAAAACTATGTCATCAGATAAAGAGTCTCTGAGTTGTTTGGGGCCAAGAACAATAACTTCAGTTTTGTCTGAATTTAACATCAGGAAATTGGTGCTCATCCAAGTTTTTATGTCTTTAAGGCAGTTATGGAGTTTAGTTAATTGATTAATGTCAGATTGTAATACTGTTAAAACTATAAATACATATAGTTGTTTCGAAAACTTGGGGGCAATTTTGGCCCCCGGAGCATGGCTTTTGGGGGCATTCTTGGATAAATTGCGGACCAAATGGCCCGTGGCCCTTGCTAATTTCTGACACTGAATGACGCTGTATGGGCCCAGATCTTTGCACATGACGCAGGTATTGGACTGTGTTATTTTCTTAGCTCTCTCAAAGTTGGATGGTTGTTTTGTCAAGCTAAGTGTGTCCAGTGTTGGTTGATTTTTCTGCGGAGTTGGCTTAGCGTTAGCTTGGCCGTCAGTGGGTAACGCTATCTCTGGATGGTGGAGTGTGAGGTGAGCCCTCATGTTTGTAGTATTCCCAGTGTATTTTATTCTCATATGACACTGCTTGCAAATCGCATGTGTGATATCCAAGCCCTCCTACCCTTCTGTGTTAAAAAAAAAAAATCCAAAATATATCCAGACATTTGATTTAAACGGGACGGCATAGTTCTGATTTCTTTCACCGGCGCCTCCATCTTTGTTTTGCCAAATGCTGCTGACTGAGACCTCTGCTGACCTCACAAGGAAAAAAACCATCAGCACCATCTAATGGACCAAAAAAACAATTGAATTTAATATTCTTAGTACCAAAAGTTGTAAAATGTGTATTTGCAAAAATAAATAATGTATGTAATAAAAGATTGATACTTGGCATCTCTGTACCAATACATTATTGCCGTGCAAAATATAGCAATACTATGCTGTATCAATTTTTCTCCCCCTACTGGAGTTGTACCTCATATGATTTCATGTGACAAATAAATGATTGATTGTTTAGAATCTATCTATAATTTTATTATGTTGCTCTGTTCTGTACACACAACATCTATTGCATGTTTGTCCATCCTGGGAGAGGGATCCTTTCTCTGCAGCTCTTCCTGAGGTCACTCCCATCTTTTCCTGACTTGACTTTCTGAAGTCATGGTGAAGTTGCCAGGTTTGGTACCGTTGCACCTGTACAGAGATCAAATGCCGTGAGGATAACCATGTCCACACATGAGTTTAATATACATCTTTTTGTTTCTTACTTTGACAGAAAGCATATAATCATATTTCCCAAAATGCTGAACTGTTTCTATGAACCAGGGACTACAGCTGTGATATTTACCACAATAATTAGGACTATAATTATTTGCCTTAGCCATGCAGCCTTAACATGCAGTAAGGTTAACACTGTACATTATTCTGATGTGGTTGTGTTTTTCCCACATTCAGATTCTTCAGCATTTCCAGTTCAGCAGCCAGTCTGAGCACTAAGGAGACTGCTCAAGAGGGTTTACCTCAGGGTGGGAGTCTCACCCAGGAAAATACACTCAGCATCCAGACCAATGACAGCGATGGTCCTGATGTCCCATCTATGGAAACCCCCAGCCCACCTCCACCACCTAGCATCACATCTCTCAGTTCAGCCAGTCAGGGTCTCAGGCTGTTTCAATGGTCAGGCAGCTCCTCTTCGACTGAACAATCGAGAACGCCAAAGTCAACTTCAGGCCTAACCTCCCTGCAGCAGTTTCAGTATAAGAGGGAGAGTTTTCCCCTATTCACAAAGACCCACAGACCCCCTGGAGACATGTCACCTCTACGTTACTCCTCCTCTGACGGAAACACAGAGGAAAATAATGACTTTCCAGGTTCCACCTGCTCCCAGGACAGTGCCTACTTTTCCCAGTCCCAGCCTTACCTCACTTCGTGCCACAAAGAGGAAGTCCTCACCCACAGCTTCCCCTCCTCGTACCAAGACGATACTGCAACTGTATGTTCATAAAAATCTCCACTGCCTTTATAAATCTCTTTACATCCCTTGTGGTTGGGTGAGCCTTCACACATACAGTATCTCACATAAGTGAGTACACCCCTCCCATTTTTGTAAATATTTCATTATATCTTTTCATGTGACAACACTATAGAAATGACACTTTGATATAACTTAAAGAAGTCAGTGTACAGCTTGTATAGTAGTATAGATTTACCTTCCTCTGAAAATTACTCAAAACACAGCCATCAACATCTAAACAGCTGGCAACATAAGTGAGTACTCCCCACAGTGAACATGTCCAAATTGTGCCTAAAGTGTCAATATTTTGTGTGCCAACCATTATTATCTAGCACTGCCTTAACCCTTTTGGGCATGGAATTCACCAGAGCTCACAGGTTGCTTCAGGAATCCTCTCCCACTCCTCCATGATGACATCATGGAGCAGATGGATGTGAAGACACCTTGCGCTCCTCCACCTTCAGCTTGAGGATGCCCCACAGGTGCACAGGTGAGTTTAGGGCTGGATACATACTTGGCCAGTCCATCACCTTCACCTTCAGCTTCCTCAGCAAGGCAGTTGTCATCTACTAGGTGTGTTTTGGGTCATTATCATGTTGGAAAACTGCATTGCAGCTCAGTTTCTGAAGAGGGGCGATCATGCTCTGCTTGGAATTCATGTTTCCCTAAATGAACCGAGCTCCCCAGAGCCGGCAGCACTCATGCAGCCCCAAACCATGATGCTGCCACCACTATACTTGACTGTAAGCAAGGGACAGTTGTCTTGGTGCTCTTCACCAAGGTGCCACACATGCTGAAAGAGCACCAAGACAACTGTCCCTTGCCTACAGTCAAGTATAGTGGTGGCAGCATCATGGTTTGGGGCTGCATGAGTGCTGCCGGCTCTGGGGAGCTCGGTTCATTTAGGGAAACATGAATTCCAAGCAGAGCATGATCGCCCCTCTTCAGAAACTGAGCTGCAATGCAGTTTTCCAACATGATAATGACCCAAAACACACCTAGTAGATGACAACTGCCTTGCTGAGGAAGCTGAAGGTGAAGGTGATGGACTGGCCAAGTATGTATCCAGCCCTAAACTCACCTGTGCACCTGTGGGGAATCCTCAAGCTGAAGGTGGAGGAGCGCAAGGTGTCTTCACATCCATCTGCTCCATGATGTCATCATGGAGGAGTGGGAGAGGATTCCTGAAGCAACCTGTGAGCTCTGGTGAATTCCATGCCCAAAAGGGTTAAGGCAGTGCTAGATAATAATGGTTGGCACACAAAATATTGACACTTTAGGCACAATTTGGACATGTTCACTGTGGGGAGTACTCACTTATGTTGCCAGCTGTTTAGATGTTGATGGCTGTGTTTTGTGTAATTTTCAGAGGAAGGTAAATCTATACTACTATACAAGCTGTACACTGACTACTTTAAGTTATATCAAAGTGTCATTTCTATAGTGTTGTCCCATGACAAGATATAATGAAATATTTGCAAAAATGGGAGGGGTGTACTCACTTATGTGAGATACTGTACATATGGATCATGAATGGGTGTGCAGAAAGCCATTTAGGTAGTGTGGTTTTGTGTTCTTACGTATTTCTTATGTATTTCCTCAGGAAATGAGATCAAGCAAAGATTCTGAGCCAGAGCAGAGTCCCACACACTCAATAGAAGAAGATAAGAAACTTAGCATGCTCAGGTCAAAGGTGAGTTTGTTCCTGAGTTACAGCTAGCATTTTGCAAATTGTTGTTTGAAACTTACTTTTAATTCTTCTTTTAGAGGCACTAAGTATTTCCAGAGATTCTTTGCCATTTGACAGTGGAGTGTTATGTCATCCTTATGGGCTTGATATGTGCTGGTAATGAGTATTTCCATGTTGACAGGAAAATAAACTATAAAATAATATCATCCAACTCATAAGTTCCTAATTTAATTTCTTAATCAAATAAGCACATCATCCCTTACTCTGTAAAAATAAAATGTAAGATAAATGTAAGTTGAAAAAGACAGCCTTAATCTGCATAGAACTGAAGGGAATAAGCCATATGACCATTAAAGGCTCCTCTCACTCATGACTGAATTCTGGAAATACATACATTGTCATTTTTAACATATTGCTGAAGTAATTCAGCAGAGCTATACGCATTGTACATTAGTATACATGCTCTGTGTTTGTAGCTCCATGTCAGCCTAGTGAGCAGGGACATGGCACTAAAACTGCAAGTTACACAAGGAGAACTCCTGTAATTTGAAAGGTTGTCCTTCATGATCATCGTTTACATTTTGGGGAATACACATATTTGCATGTCTGTGTGTTAAGTAGGGCTTGGTATTGCCACTGATTTCCTGAATCGATTTGATTTCGATTCACAAGGCCTCAATTTGATTCGATATCGATTAGGTATATTTCAGTTCAAGCACCCATTTTTGCTGGAATGTGAAAGAAATTCTCAGAGAACTAGGACTGTAAATTTTACATGGATTTATGTTAAAAAAGTTTGTTTATTTTTTTTTGTTTTTTTTAATTTAATTTTATATACTTTATTAATCCCCCAGAGGGGAAATTCAAGTTTTCACTCAGTTGTCATTAACACACAGGTCCGAAATACACACACGCACAAACAGGACCTATACATGCACAAAGTGGAGAGATGTCAGAGTGACGGGGCTGCCTTGGTCAGGCGCCCGGAGCAGTTGGGGGGTTCAGTGCTTTGCTCAAGGGCACCCTGGCAGTGCCCAGGAGGTGAACTGGCATCTCTCCAGCCACCAGGCCACGCTCCGCATTTGGTCCGGATGGGGACTTGAGCCAGTGACCCTCCGGTTCCCAACCCAAGTCCCTATGGACTGAGCTACTGCCGCCCCCAATAGAATAAATTCAGAGCAGGATTAAAATTGAATATTTTACAATTAAATGTAGTTTATGGAGCAGCAGCACTAAAATCAAACAGCAAAGTCACAATATAAACTTAATATCTCACGGGAAACAAATCTAAAATGTCAATAAAATCATATTTCTGTCATCACAATACTGAGTGAAGTTTAGAGAGAATAATAACAGAGACATCAGTCAGTATCAGTCCTCCTGCCCTCTCTGCTCCTCCCTCTGCTGCTGAGGAGATTCACTGCCTGCAGATAAAGTTATGACTGGTAAAGTTTAGGATACGTGGCAACCTGAGCTAAACTGTTAAAACAGTTGTAGTTTCAGCTTGTTAGTAACACTTTGCTATTTGCTGAAAAGCACTCTGTGCCTGTTCATAACATAATATTAGCAGCAGTGGATGAGAGAGTGCAAACAGAGCAGATTGAAATATTGCTTTTCTGCACATTTACATGTTTTAATGTTTATTGTTGTTGAACAGGTGTATTGATAAAGTATTGACTTTTTCCTCAAGGAGGTTTTATTGCACTCACAGTAACAAGCGTAGTTGACATCAGCTCAAGTTATCTTAACTTTTCTGTCTACACTGCGCCATCTCTACTCTGTTTGTCTATGTATGTGCTACTGTCATTAATAATTTAGTGCCAGTGCCCGTTTACCACCGGCGAGATTTACAAGGTTGAAACTTCACACATCCGTGGGAAAAAGCGGATATTAAAAGATCAGTCTCTGATTTTATGAATCAATATCAGGTCATTCAAATGAAGATCAATTTGATTTGGATGAATCGATTATTTTAACCCAGCCCGAGTGTTAAGCGCAAAACTGAAGTCAGAATGTAATGAAATGGGGAAACAGCTAGCTGTGCTCTGTTTTTTTTTAAAGATATTTTTAGGGCATTTTTTGCCTTTAATCGACAGGACAGTTAAGCAGAGAGAGAGAGAGAGAGAGAGAGAGAGAGATGCAGCAAAGGGCCACAGGCTGGACTTGAACCTGGGCCACTGCGGTAACAGCCTTGTACATGGGGCGCCTGCTCTACCACTAAGCCACCGACGCCCCAGCTGGGATCTGTTTTGAGTGAAAAATACACCTAACAACATCTAAAGCTCACTGATTACAATACAGTGTTAAATTCAGCTGCATTCAGAATCAGAAAAGCTTTATTGGCTGTCGTGACAGAAAATTGTCTTAGACGTTGCTCATACAACAAACAAAACAACACAGAAACACACAATTCCTAGAAACCTAGTGAGATAAAAGAATACTGAAGCATAAATAATTTATACAGAGTTTAAGAAAAACTCTAAAATGTGCAATGTGGTAAAGTGCATGTGCTGGGGGCCATTTTTGAGCTATTGTTTGTTTAAAATGTTTATGGCAGTGGGGATAAAAGAGTTGGGGTAAGTGTTTTTCTTGGACAGGGGGACTTTATAGCGGCGACCTGATGGTAGGAGCTGGAAGGACTTGTGCAGGGGGTGAGTGGGATCTGCTGTGATGAGGTTGGCTTTCTGAGTGACTGCTTGGGTATGAAGTTCTGATAGTGGAGTCTGAGTTTTGCCAGTTATTTTACTTGCTTGGTTGATTCATATAGAAGCAGGAGCGGACAGAATGGAGTTTTAACTACCTGAGGACTACCTTCAACTTTTTGAGGCACAACCTCTTAGGCTGAAAAATTAAGCCAACACAGAAGTGCCAAAAGCTGCAGTTCCTCAAATGTCCACTTGAGGCTGGCTCAGGAAGCTAGTCAGTCCCCATAGACCTCCATGTTAAAATGTCCAGCTTTACAGCAGAAATAAACATGTTTGCAGCCTGGTACAAAAAAAATGTTTTGGTCTCTATGGCTAATTTCAACATTCATGACAACTGTACTGGAGTAAAAAAAAAATTATTTAACTCCCTGGGGCATTACATGCAACAAAAGAATCAATGCTGCTGTAAAGTAGTATGTGTAGATAAGGGTGGGAAAAAAGCCCCATGATATGATGTTATGACAATACTTAAGTCACGATACAGTATTATTGCAATTTGAAACATGTTGCTATATGCTGAGTTTTGCAATAAAATATATTGCGATTTATCACCATTTTTCAACTGTAAATAATGTCCCCAAAAGAAAACTTTGTCTTTGAAAAGTTTTCAGTCTGTTCATCTCACTTCAGTAATTTTTATTGCAGCAAAATGTATCTAGTAGACTGATAAATGAATAGATTATATTATTCTAGTAGGCTATCGAGTTTAATGTATATTTGTAAATTCATAATTTATGTAATGAAAAACTGATACTTGGCGTCTGCATATCAATACAGTATTGCCACACAAAATTATCATGATACTATTCTGTATCAATTTTTTCTCTCTACCCCTAATCAGAGATGCTCCAGGAAGGATTAGATGTGGGATGTAAAGCTAGCAAAGCTGACAAAGAGTCCCCAGTGAGAAGCTCTGGTGACATAGCCATTGACTTTGGCACATGGGCTAGAATGGCAGAGCTGAACTGTGACACAGCCACATGCAGTAGACACTGGCCATGACACACTACAACTATTTTATAACAAACAACAGTTTATTAAGTTATAGAGGTGTTGGTAGTGGTACTTTATAATGTAGGACAGAGCCAGGCTAGCTGTTTCCATCTGCTTCCAGTCTTTATGCAAAGCTATGCTAACCATGTCCTGATACCAGCTCTGTATTTAAAAAACACAAATGACTTGTACTCATTTTGTTATTTCACTTATAGATTTTTTTTTAAATTGAATTTACAATTTAGGAAGAATGACGTTGAAGACATTTTTGTAGCAGTAAAACACTGTGTGTGTCTCCTGTTTCAGTCTTATCTCTGCTACATGGTTTTTCACCCACCAGGTTTCAGGTCTGTTGAAGCCACAGTCCAGCAATCAGCGTCAAGCATCAAAAGAGCGACTGTTTGGCCCGGCCAGGGCCAGTGGACTGAGGAAAAAGTCTTTGGGTTTTGGAAAGAAAACAGTTTCCTCCAATAATGAGAACAACCCTGGTGTCCAGGCCACCATCAGCAGCCTCTGGAAGAACTTCAGCTTCAAAAAGTAAATGAGAAATACTAAAGTTACTTTGTAAATTCATACAATATTTGAATAGAATTCTTATCACATTCTTAACATGATGCTGAAAATCTGGTTTTAATGGAAAAGTGCCAAGTGAACATAATGGAACATTATGGAAGTGGAAATTTCTTACAAAAATTTTTATGGCATATCATGGATGTGTCAATCATTGGGTGAGATTACACATACACTATATTGGATTTTTACTAACTTTACTAATAGGACTAGTTACTATTAGGGGTGGCCAATATATCAAATATACTCAATGTGTCGCAGCTTGTTCCATGTGGGATGTATGAATAGGCTATATTGCAAACATTGTGTCTAAATTGTCATGTTGTTGTTTTTAAGCCACTGGTGTAAGACTTGATTTGGTGTTTTGGTTCTCTTGCTCTCTCCCTCTCGGAGATACGCAAAAGAGACTCACAAACATTATACATCACACACACTCCTCCAGGTACAGCATGTGTATTATCTGTTGGGCTCCAGACTGCTACTATCCAGTCACATTTTGCAACCATGGAGCACCACTGTGACATTGCAAATGTTATTAATATATGGACTGGAGAGCCGTTAGTTTGTTTCCAGCTCACAGTGAATAAATCATCATGTTTAACAGTACCACACTAAAATTAACTTAATGAGTTTGTTCTCACTAACACAAATAAAACAACAAATGGGATAATTTAACCTTCAGGGCTATCTGTCAGAGAGACCTTTCTGGAAGAAATATTTTCATTTAACCCAAACTATGATCTTTTTCATAAAACTTCAGGAATATCTGGCTTAAAGCCCTGAGGGAAAACAACAAGATCATTCAACAAAAGTACAACTTTCAGCACAATAATAACTGTCAAGGTTCATTGACAAAACAATTGCTTTTTGCTAATCACCCATTATTAGTTTAAGGATGTTTACATTGCATAAACTAGCCTAGCGGCTAGCAGACATTTTTCCCCTTCTCATAGCTTAAAAAATTACATGCAGCGTTATTACTTTTCTTACTCACCGCTGGTTTAAGCCACTGCATCTCCTGACAGAACAGCACGGTTGAATTTCAGCCTGCATGCACGGTTTTTCATCCAAACATTGTTGAAACAGAGCAGCTAATGTTGCTAAAGCAAGAAGCTAGCATAGTGAGACGCTCATCCAGGCAGGTAACATTACGTCGTGTTTAATCTCGTAACAGTATTGTTTACATAAGCCATGTGCTGCTTTATTGTAGCAGCAGGTTATTTGACACGGTACAAGATAAGGACAGTTAATGTAAACTGGGATGCCAGTAACTTTGATGAGGGACACAGTTTGTAATGGAACAGCTCTAATAGCACCCCTCTTGTGTTTTTCAGGGATACCCAGAAGGTGATTCCCTCTAAGAAAGGAGAGCCCATGTCTCCTGTGAAAGACAACCTGCCGGCAAACTCACCTCAGACTGACATTAATTTAATCAGCAGCTTCTGAAAGATGCTTTAAATGTTTCACACAGTGCTAAGTGCTGTGTGTGGGACTGAAGCTTTTAAACATACCACTTATGTTAATGATTTCTTGACAAGTTGTATTTCTTAATGTATAGTTTTTAATAAAGCAACTGGCCTGCAATACAAGTGTATTGTGATTGGGTGTAGATTGTGTAGTAACTGATGTTGAGTTTCTTAAGTTGTATGAAGTTGGGTTGCATCACATCTTGCTATTGTCAAACCCTTCAACACAGCAGTCAAAGAACGTGTCACCAGGTAAAAATGCATATTTGAATGTTAAGTGAAAATGCCCTGCCCACATGCATGCTGAGGAATGTGGCTGGCTTCCTACGGTATGTCTTCAGAACAGTGTCAAGTATCTGCACCGGTCAGCCCAAGTACAGGCTTTTCGGTGGGTTTTAGTGTATAGAACAGTTTAAGTTCTCTCTCTTGTCAAGTGTTGTCAGATGTACTGTGTGCTTTTTTAGCTGTCAGTCAGTACGTTTACATGGACAGTTTAATTCCACTTTTAATCGTAATGAAAGGCTATTCCGATTTAAAAGTGGTCATGTAAACGGTCATTCCGATTGAAAAATGGCCATTCCGATTGAAAATTAAATCTGATTAAAGGGGGTGGTTTATTCAGTTTGTCATTCCGAATGAAAGAATTTTGTGTGTATGTATACACTCATTCCTCTTTAAGTTCATTCTGGTCATTCTGCACATGCTCATTTCCTTGCCCTCCTCAACAGATGAAGCATTAGCAGAACAAGGTTGTTGTCGTACTGCTGCTTCAAGAATATAAGCAAAACAAGCCAGAAAAAGGCACTAAGAACGGTGTCGTCAAGCATCTTGTTATCCAGAGCGAGGACTACAGTGTTTTCTTCCAGTAAACGTAAACACCTAACATCCGCCCCACCCCCTATCCAATCAGAAACCTTCACTGCTCCAAACCTTGCGCAGACTTAAATAAAGGCGATTGAACTGATTTCCCATGTAAACCCTCATTCGGAATGAATATTTCCCATGTAAACTACCTGGAAAAACTTTAATTCCGAATGATTTCATTCAGATTTATTTCATTCCGAATGAGAAGCCATCATGTAACCGTAGCCATTCAACCAAAGAAAATCTCTCCTCAGGTCAGTCAGTGTAATCCTGCTTAAAGTTTGAATCTATGTCGACCCCCACCTACCTCTGAGTAGATGAACCTCATGATAAGCTGATAGAAGACTTTTCATTTGGTGACTTTAAATCCTTCACCTACCTTTTTTTTTTCCAATGGAGTGCTTCAAGGCTCAGTCCTTGGCCATTAATTATTCTTCATTAATGTTACTTTTAGGCCATATCATTCCGAAGTTAAATATCAGTGTCCATTTTTATGCAGATGATTCCCAGATCTTATTCTAATTTGAGTCCAATAACACAACTGGTCAAATCACAATTCTGTCCTACAGATTATAAACATTGGCTCTCTAAAAACTTGTGTGTGTGTGTATATATA